GGTTCCAACATAGGCAACTGGCCATTCTCAACATCAATCAAACTTTGATTATAGTCCCACGGAGTTAACGGCGTGGCCCCCCCATAAGGTCCCTTGGGCGCCAGTTGAGGGGGTGGGAGGCTCCTCCTCACACAGATCATCCCACAGCATGTCTTATCCACCCCCTCTAATCGGGACCTTCTGGAAACAGAGCTGTCAAGTTCTCCCGTTTGCGCTGTAGTTCTGCCTCACGCGGTGTCACTATCACGTTCCACTCACGAGCTGCCACACTCTTAGGGATATCAGGGGGAATCGGAGGGTTGGGCAATAGTCCTCCCACCTTCAGGTTTGGGAAATCCTTTAAAAGTCCTTGATCTCGGACCTTCTCAAATGGCCTCCTTCGTTCTTCCCGCTTCTTTCTTTCATACTCCCTTACAACGGAACTACACCAAACCACTCCCTCCTCATCTTTATATTCCTCTCCCACCTTAACCTCCTGCTCCTCCCACTCTCCCTCAGCCAAGCACACTTCCAACTTCCCCTGCCCCTCTCCCCCTGTCAACTCCTTTCCCTTTTCATCTCCACTTTCACTGCTATCCCCCTGTTCTTTTCCTTTCTTACTGTCCTCCACTGTGATCTTTGCGGCCGGCTCACTTCGATCCTCTATACCTTCACAACCTCATGAGAGGCAGAAAGGAGACAGAGAGAAGACCGGAGAAACCCTCCTATTGGGGAGAGAAAGAGGTTAGAAAGTAGAGGAGAAAGATCAGGGAGGAGAGAGGCATGCTTGCTGAATAGTGAAAGGGAGAGATGGACCAACCTCTCAGAGACGGCCTTTGGCAGGACCCCGGTAGGTCAGTTGTCTTCCAGTGGTGACAACATTGATGAACTGTAGAATCTCCTTGATGATGCTAGTGGTGCCCTTCAGAGGACCAGCCTGCCTCCCCCACCCTCAGCCCCACACCCAGCAAAGGCCTTCTGTGGGCCACAGCTGGGCAGAAAGGTTTCTCAAGATGCCCACACAGTTGGAGACCCCCTTCCAGTCAGATGGACTGGGAGGAAAAGGCACGACGTGACCACAAGTTGCAGTGATCGCTTGTATGGTTGCAAGGAAATAAATTCAGAGTGGTTTGGTGGCATCCACCCTCACCAGTCGGGATGGCGGTTAATGATTAGGTTGTAAACTGACCAATACCACTTGTTGTGGAATATGATCCAGAGGCTTAGTATAGTAAATCCAACTAGAGTATGAACATTGAATTAATGCCTTCATAAACTCTCGGTGCCTTGCTCTGCTACTATAAGTTGCATTTAGAGTAGGCTTGTGAGAAGAATTTTTGGATGAGCTGAATTACTGAATTCCTCAGGGATTCAAGGTGCCTCCTCAAGTGCACTTTACTACACTAACGAACAGGATTTTGGACTGGGAGTGCGACCACCTGCCCTCCCTCCCTTCTGATGGGTTTCCCTCTGGGGCTGGTGGTTGATCACTGCCTGGACCAAATGCGAGGGCCAGAAAGATTACCTTCATTCTGATCTACCTTCAGTGCTTTTCCGGTATTCCCATCCACGGAGCCATCCTGAACGTCCTAGCCCAGGATCCTGTTCCATTTACTTCAGACAGGTAATCATTTTCTCCGTTCAGGAAGGTGTGTGTCCATTGCATTGCTTATGGCACATCCAGTTCTGCAACCAGGTGTACAAGAGACACCCCTCCCGCAAGATACTGGCCTTCAACTAGCCTTCCTCCTCGTCCCTTCCAGGTTCTTACCAGGCTTCTCCGCAGCTGGGTCAGGATCCTTCAGCAGACTGTCGTGCTCCACTGTGCAAAGATATTGGTTGCGCTCCTCACGGTCAGACTCAATACTGAGCCAGGTGTGGGAGATCCTGTCTGAGTTAGGAACCACATTCACACAAAGAGTCTTGGCATCCAAGCCCCCTCTGTTCTTCCTCCAAGTGGCATCAATTGCCTTGGGGTAGAAACCGTGAATGTGGCTGATGAGGAATTTTAAAAAATGAGCGGCTACTAAAACTCGCCAAGCCCTTCCCCTTCTCAGTTGAAATCCCAAAGCAGGCCCTGAGGGAAAACTCATCTCTCCCTTTGTCCAGGTTTGGTGACCTTCCTGGAAGACGGCTAGTCTCAGGCCACCTGGACAGGAGCTGTATTCCATCCTGTCCCGTTTTGCACAGGCCGGCTTTTGCTGCCTTTCAGAGCAGGGCCCCTAAATCAGGCAGGAGATGGCTGGGGTTGGAGGGGAGGCTGGCCTTCTTTTGCGTTTATGGGGGCTTATTGAGGGCAAGATCCAGGGAACGGGTCTGCTTTGCGTGATCTCCTTGTGATGAACTTCTAACCACTAGGACATTTTGGAAACCAATAGGCATCCATCAGTCTTCAGGGGAAACAAGGGCAGCTCTCCTTTCCTCTCCCACCCAGATCTCAGGTCAGCCTTTCCCTCTTCTGTCAGATCTCATTGGACCCACCCGGCTTTTAACAGTCCCACGTGCAGATCAGAAGGTCGGCTGATAGGGCTACCTCGATTCTGCTGGCTGAGAGGAGGAGGAGGGGTAACAGACCATCTTCCACCCAATATCATCACAACTGGTATAACCCCACTCACAAGGGCATTGCCCACAAGGGTATTGACCTAACTTTGGGAGCCTGGATGTCTTTTCTCTTTTTTTAGCTAAAAGGACTAGCATTCTATTCTGAGGGTGAGGACAAAACCCTGAAGGTTAAACAGAAGAGGCTGGACAGCGGAGGTGGGGCAGGGATTCTAACTAGAGGTCTGGGTCACACCGAGACTCCTGCGGGAAGGGCTGAGATGTACGACTCACTACATGGGTCTTGCGAGGAGCAGAAGGCTAAGATAGCTCTGGAGAACAGGCTGCCTCAGATTCTCTCCACCGGAGAGGGAAAACCTGACTGTGCTACACAGCAGAGGGGTCGGAGCGCAGCCTCTTAGCCCATCCGCACAGCTGAAAGAACCCAGTGCTCCTTCTCAGCCACCACGGGCCCCATCCTGCAAAAAAAGGGATGAAAGTGGGGAACAAGCTGGATCCGGAAAGAGGAAGGAAGTCCCTCTCCCCGCCCCCCAAAAATACCAAAAAGGGGATCAAGAGTGGGATGGTGGGGGTCTCTCGGTAGGAAGGAGGGGGGCAGAAGAGAAATCAGGGGGGCAAGGCCACCTTCCAGTTGACTCTGGGCAACCACCATCACCTGCTCCTGTCTCTCCCAGTTGGGTTGCATGGTGTGACCCCAACGGTTGGTCCCGGTTGAGTCTGGAGAAAGAGGGAGGTTTCTTCAAGGGGGAGATTTTCATTTCCATGGGGGTGTGGTGGGGGCCATGAATGCAGCATCCTGTGAAGTCCCTCTGGAAGAAACTGACCAGGAGCCCTGCGGAGCCCTGAAGTGGATGACCTCAGTTTCCTTGTGATTTCAGGCCAATTTTCCCATAAAGGGGAGGTTATGCTGGGGGTGTCTCCCCCCCTTCAGCCATTCAGGGGACCCCCTTGGTCCTCAGCCCCATTTTTTCTCCCCACGGAGCCCAACCCCCTCCCTGCCTTGGAGTTCACGCAGGGCATAAGGGGGGGTGGCTCCGCTTGCCATGTCTCCCCCCTCCCCTCTCCATCCAGCCCTTCGCCCCTTTAATGGCCAGGGGTGGTGGTGGCGCTCCTCCTCCTTTTCTGAGGGTTCGCCCCGGCCGCCATCCTCCTCCTCGTCCTCCTCCTCAATGGCGGACCGACCCAGACACACAAACACACACACACGCCCGGACTTCTGGGATCTCAGGAGGGCAAGGCTGAGGGGGGGAGGGGGAGACTCTGACTCCGTCTGCAGGCTCTGGCTCCTCCCAGGGAAGACCCAATGAGAACTTGCTCCTCTTGCGGGTCACCCGTTGCTGGGCGGAAGCCCTCCAGGGCTGATCCCCTTGGGCGTCGCCCTGCCGTATTATGGCGTCTATGAGGGGGTTGCCTGGCAACCCAGCGACGCAGGGGAGAGGTTTTTTTCCTCCCAGAAGACAATGGAAACCCAATGAGAGCTCCCTCCTCCTCCTCCTGCTCCTTTCGGGACACCTGTCTCCGGGCAGAAGCCCTTCCCTCTGGAAGGCTGGCTGGGGCAAAAATGGCAGTTCCCACCCCCCTTTCTTCCCCGTCGATTGACTGACTGGCTGCCCTCCAACCCCACCCACGGCTCATCTCTGCGCACGCGCGAGATCCCCTCACTGGCTGTTCCGCTCTCTCTCCCTCCCGCGCATGCGTTCCTCCACAGATGGGCCGTGGGTTAGCCAGTTGGAAGGGGGGGGCTAAGAAGCTAATAAGGAGGTAGGGGAGCGCCTTTCCCAGGGGGACCGGAAGCGGAAGCCAGGCGCCTTCCGTCCTCTCTGTGTCTCTCCCACTTCTATGGTCTTCCTCGCCCGTTTCTCACCAGAGGACTTGGAAGGAGGCGGGGTAGGTCGGTAGGTGTGGGGGTGGGTTGGAAGGGATTTCCAAAAATGAACATTAGGGGCCCCTCCCCCACTCCCAAGGGACCGCGCGGGGGGGGGAGGGTCTCTTTTCCAGGCCATTCGGGGGAAAAAGCGCAGGAAAGCCAACCCCCCCCCGGGGGGAAAGTACGACCCTCGTTTCAACCCCCCCTTTTCCTCCTCCTCTTCCTCACGGGGGGGGGTTCTTCAGGGGGAAGAGGAGGTGGGGATGGGTTTTTTTGTTTTTTCTTGCCTAGAGACCCCCGCCCTTGCCTTCCTTCCTTCTTTGGAGGGGGGTTTTGCAAAGGGAAGGAGAAGGGGCCACTTGGTCTCCCCCCCTTTAGTCACTTCCTCCCCCCCTCCTTGCCTTCTCCAGACAAAGGGCCCCCCCCAAGGGTCCCTGTGTGTGAGTGAGTTGTGTTGCAGGTCGGTGGGTGGGATTTTAGATACGAACACTAGCTCTTCCTCCCCCACTCCCCAGGGAGGGTCCCCTCCAGGCAATCGGGGGGAGGGAGATAAGCGCAGCAAAGCCCCCTTCCCTGTTGCTCCGGATGGAAGGAAAGAAGGATGTCCTTTCCCTGTTTCTTGGGGTGTGTGTGTCATGATCCCACCCCGTTGGGGGGGGACAAGGAAGCTCTCCGGAATCCCCTCCATGCCTTGTGCATGTGCTTGTGCAGGGAATCATCTGGGGGGGGAGGTTGGTGGTTGTTTTTTCCCTCCTAGATAGACACTACCCCCTTGTGAGGGGGGGACAAGAAAGCTCGCCAGAATCCCCTCCATGCCTTGTGTGTGTGCTTGTGCAGGGAATCATCTTGGGGGGGAGGTTGGTGGTTGTTTTTTTCCCTCCTAGATAGACACTCCCTCCTTTCCCTTTTTTGCTTCCTTCCTTTCTTGGGGAGGGGGTTTCCAAAGGGAAGGAGAGGCGGGGACTGGGTCTCTTCCCCCCTTTATTCTCTCCACCTCTCCGTCTTCCCTGCCCCTAGGGAAGCCATCCGGCGGGAAAAGCCAAGCCCGGCTGGAGGGAAAGAAGGACCTTTGTGTCTCCCTGACCTTTTTATTCCTCCTCCTCCTCCTCCGCTTTCTGGGGGGGAGATTGCTTCAGGGGGATGGTTTGCTTCAGGGGGAAGAAACCCTAACCCTGCCCCCCCCAGAGCTCAACGTGGTCTCCTCCCCCCTCCTTGCATCCCCAAGGGAGGAACCTCCCTCCCCTCTAAGCTCCGGACCCCGTCCTCCCCTTTTGGCCCAAAGGTTTC